CAGTCGGGGCCTTTTCCAGCACCCCTCCCAGGGACTCCAAGAAGGCTGGGTACGCTACACCGCCATTCGGCCCGTAGGCACAAACGGCAGAGAGAGACCTATCCCCGACCCGAAGGCGCAGGGAAGCGGCCCTCTCGTTCACCGGGGTAAACTCCAACACATGGCGGCTAAGCTGGGGAGCTTTGAGCAAGCCCAGAATTAAAGAATTAAACAGAATTAAACAGAATTAAAGCAGGACTATATAAACTAAAGAGTGGCCACTGTGAGTATTTGGCTCTGGTGCCAATAGGATAGTGCTAAAACATATGATAATAATATCACAAATAGACAAAAGTAATAAACTCAGTGAACTGAACAGTTACCTAAAGTGTGCAAATATTAGCTAACTATTGGTCTTGCCAGACCAAATGAGGCTGTGGCTGTGAAACCACTGACTGGGTTGAGCTGAGAAAATGTGTGTTTTATTACTTATACAAATATTCAAGTTTCCATTTGTAAGAGGGAAAATGTGTTATGTCTACTTTCAGCAGTGACACAGTCTCAGTTAAACATTAAGCATATTAGCAATAAGGTTAGGCATTCCTAATCTTCAATAAACAACAGACAACCCAGTCGTGAAAAATAGCGATGGGGCCAGAAAAACACTTGGGGGGGGGATCCCCCAGAATGTCCGTGGGGGGAAGCACCTGGCGGGATCCCCTATAATGCCCCTCTGGGCAGGCTGTAGAGATTCCAGCTAAAAGTCTTTCAATTCTTGTACTTGGGATCTTCTCCCATTCTTCCTTGCAAAAGGCTTCTAGTTCTGTAATATTCTTTGGTCGTCTTGCATGCACAGCTCTTTTAAGATCTACCCACAAATTTTCAATGATGTTTAAATCAGGGGACTGTGATGGCCATTCCAAAACCTTCAGCCTGCGTCTCTTGAGGTATTCCATAGTGGATTTCGAGGTATGTTTAGGATCATTGTCCTGTTGTAGAAGCCATCCTCTTTTCAGCTTCAGCTTTTTTACAGATGGTGTGATGTTTGCTTCCAGAATTTGCTGGTATTTAGTGGAATCCATTCTTCCCTCCACCCGTGCAATGTTTCCTGTGCCACTGGCTGCAACACAACCCCAGAGCATGATAGATCCACCCCCATGCTTAATAGTTGGCAAGGTGTTCTTTTCATGAAATGCTGCTCCTTTTTTTCTCCAAACATGCCTTTGCTGATTGTGTCCAAAGAGTTCTATTTTAACTTCATCAGTCCACAGCACTTGTTTCCAAAACGCATCGGGCTTCTGTAGATGTCCTGTTGCATACTTCAGACGTTGGATTTTATGATGGGGACGCAGATAAGGTTTTCTTCTGCTGACTCTTCCATGAAGGCCTTGTCTGTGCAAGCATCGCTGCACAGTGGAACGGTGCACCACCACTCCTGAGTCTGCTAAATCTTCCTGCAGGTTTTTTGCAGTCAAATGGGGGTTTTGATTTGTCTTTCTGACCAGCATACGAGCAGTTCTGTCCGAGAGTTTTCTTGGTCTTCCAGATCTCATCTTGACCTCCACAGTTCCCCTGATCTGCCATCTCTTAATTACATTTCTTACTGTGGAAACTGCAAGCTGACAACGCTTTGCTATCTTCTTGTAGCCTTCTCCTGCATTGTGGGCATCAATAACTTTCATTTTCAGGGTCTTACACAGCTGCTTAGAGGAACCCATGGTTGCTGGGTGTCCACAAGTGTGTGCACAAGGTTTGAAGAGTCAAAGTATTTGTACAGCTTTGAAATTGGCATTTACCAATGACAGCTGTTGCTGTGCATCAGATCTAACGAGCTGATTAAGGTCTGATACCTTGTGAGAGACTTTGAGACTCTGGAACTCTTAGGGTGCCCAAACTTTTGCACCATGCCATAATCATGTTTTTATTTTTTATTTTTGTTCAATTTATGGCATAAGAAGTAACTATGCATCACTGTTTGCAGAAAATATTGTGCATTTTTTCCATTTCCAAGAGAAACTGTGTTAACATCTGTTCAAATAAAAAATCACCAAAATCTGTTATTTATCAAGGGGTGCCTAAACTTTTGCATAAGACTGTATGGGTTGGTGGGATTGTTAGTGTGGTCGGTGTGTGTTCTGTTGTTTCTGTGTTTTTCCCAGCTGTATATGTGTAATAAAACAGCGGCTCAACAGAGCACAGAAAAGGCAGTCTGCGTCCGTGACTCCACACACATTCACATTCTCAGTCAGTGTGCAAGATAACTGATCGGCCACAACTAAATTTGGTTCAGAGATACAAAATTTCAATAACATTCTGTGGGCTACATTAATTTTTTTGTACAAAACATGCATTGGCTGCTACATTTTTGCTGTCAGTATGTTTGTGTTTAGAGGCCAACTAAAATCCCCACAAGCAGGTCAGATTAACATTTTGAATATTTCCAGACAAACCTGCGTGGAAGACACCAAGATGTTGGCCTCTGCCTCAACAGCCAAAACAAACAAGCAGGCCAAAAATACACTTCCCGCAAAAACAGACACCCATTGCTTGTGTACTAAAAGTTCTTGTTACCATTCTGTCATAAAACTAATTTTACTTTTGAACATACAGGAGTTTGACTGTGGTACAGAGGCTCTCAGTGTGTTGTAAATTTACAATATCCAGTTTCGGGGACTTTTAAACTACAGTTACAAATCAGTTGTAGCACAGGGTATTTAATAAAATAAAAATAAAAATAAATAAATTATTACAGTTTACGTTTTACGGTGTTACATAGAAGTGATCAAGCTGTTTGTTGTTGTGTTGCACCTTTGAATGTAACCTACTCCAGTACACCACCTTTAACTATGACCTCAGTAATAAACACATCATTGAATTTATTTATGACAATTTCAACACAAATTGAAACATTTTGAGTTTTATAAACACAGATCTTAATCTCCTTTATTGGCCAAGTATGTTACACACAAGGAATTTGTTTCCGGTACAGAACCAAGGTAGCCATCTGCGGCGCCAACTCAAACGATGACTCTAACCATCGGGGGCAACTTGGGTTTTCAGTGTCTTGCACAAGGACGCTTCGACATGTGAACTGCCGGTGTTCTGCTACCTTGTCGAGATATACTACCTTGTTGCAAAATCTATGGACTGACTAACCCCGCCCCAATCCATCACCCTAACCCTAACCACTTAGTGAACGGTGGATAGCACGTCTTGATAGTTAGCAAAATTTGACAGAACACCGGCACCGAGATTTGAACCTTCGTTGGTAAACGACTGCAAGGTCGCCTGATGTTAATACTCGGTTGTTCACAAAATGAAATGTAACCTGACTAGTGGCCAGTGGTGTTTGCCTTGATGGGTTTTGTCATGAGAGTAAAACTGAATAGGCCTGTTTGGTTGGATCAAATAGTCCTGAGAAGATCTCAGTAGTGGGACTACTGGTGTGTAGATGCTTCATATTATGAAAATAGATCTTGGAGGCAAAGTTGTAGGTTTATTCTAAAGTGAGGGTTATTTGTACTCGCCACAGTTCCCTCGTTTTAAGGAATATCTTCACATAAAGGTGATCAATCTGCTTGTTGAAGCCTCCTGTCGCATATCGCGTCTTACCCCAAAGCAACTCCACGCAAATTACTCTGCATAAATAATAATAATGCCCTGTCATACTTCACGTTTTCAGAGCCCGGATAGCTCAGTCGGTAGAGCATCAGACTTTTAATCTGAGGGTCCAGGGTTCAAGTCCCTGTTCGGGCGATAGTGTTTTTATATTCCAAAATCATCATGCTTGAAAGTGCTTTATTGTGCTTTGCAAACTAAATAAACACTCGGCGTTCTCAGCCCCCACCATTGTAAATATGTCCTGCATCAACCATCGCAGTTACTGTGAAACACGATATTAAATCCACCATGTTGGTTACCAGTGCCGTGCAATTTCATAGTTTGAAAAGATAAGTGAGAAATTATGTAGAGTTACAAAGAAGTTTTTAGCTAAGTTACACTGAGCTGCGTGATTAATTCTAACTTATTTCCTAGTGTGAGCAATCAAAAGGAGAGTTACATCTCTCAAGTTTAACACTTAAGCATTATATCATCTAAACCCAGCCCCGCCATATCCTGAGCGCTGTCCTATGGAGGATGTCCCTGCCCTACAAAATAAAAGCGCTAGGCTATCACGTGTAAGAGTAGTGACGGGGGCGGTTCTTGGACCACCTCTGCCAATCACCGCCTTTGTTATGCGGGTTCCCATTCGACGATAAACAATGCGACCTGGCCGTAAGGCGCTCATCAAAGTGAATGGATTCGAGTCGTTTGCCTACTTGCTGTAATTACTACAAGACTGGAGTTACCCAGCAACGTTAAAGACACGCACACTATGATGAAGCATTATTCTACTTCGGAAGGAGAAAACGCAAATCTGCCGCTGTAGCAGCGATTTTTACCACTAGAAAGCCGTCCGCTTTGATAGCTAACGACAGCTAGCTAAGTTAGCTGTTACAGACCCTCGTTTTTTTCCACGCAACTGATTTCATCACAACATAGACGTACTGGGCATCATTTCTTTGCTAGTGTGGCGTCATTACTGTTACTCCCACGTTCGCTCCTGCTATCCTAGCGTTGTGCTCCGTGGACTGTTCCTGAATATGATATATAATGAGTCAAAGAGATACCTTAGTTCATCTGTTTGCTGGAGGGTGAGTATATCATCGTCACATACATGTAAAAGCTGAGCTAGCTAGCGTCCACGCTCCGGGCTAACTGTCTTTGCTAGCATGATGGGATGTTTATATTGAAACGTCCATTATAGTAGGATTTGTTAACTTAAAAGCTAATGTAAACCAGAAGATCAGCGTTGGCTCCGTGTGTTAGATGTCAGCTGAACTACCTTGTCCTTGCATTTGCACCTGTAGGAGTAGAACTCAATGTCATGGGTTACAACGGCATTTCAGTGTTTGAATGTCAGGTCAGATTTGATTAAACGTTAGCCCAATACTGCAGATCCCATTGCTTCAAGAGGAATTAAGTGGTTGCTTTGTGGAAGAGGGTTCCGAATTCGTTGTGAGACTTTGTAGCAGTTATGGCATATGAAATATGAAGCTCGGCATTAGCAACGTGTATAGTCTTCGTTTCCAATAAGCTGAAAATGCGAAAACTGAGCCTATTCCACTTTTAATGTCATAAAGTTAGTACATCAAAACAAACGTGGGAATTCTGGGGAGAAAATACTGTTTAGAAGCTACAGACAAACATGCATCACCAGATCGGACCGCTGCAGCATCTAAACTGTGACACAGTGGCGTGAAGTCTAGTATTTTCTTGTATTCTGGTTTGCCAAAGTTGGGTGAAGCCTACATTTAACTTAACCACAGCCTGGAATTGTTATAGAAAGGTGCTGCTTCTGAAATGAGTGAGTCTGTTATTTTCTTGCTACATTGACAGGAATAACAAAGAATTTCTATTAAAAACGTATAGCAAAATTAAGGTTTACTGCTAGTTTTATGGATCTAAATATGAATCTTTTTGGGGGATTTATCAAACTATGGCCCTAAAGTTGGAGCTTAATTGAGATCAAATCTGACCTGTCATCCATGTATGGTTTTCTTTTGCCCATGTCCTATTCTGTTAGGTGTATAGTAGCTGCATGACATCCATAAATGTACCTTTGCCTTTGTTGACAGGACTTAGTATCTTTGCATTTTGTTCTGATTGAAAATGAACCCTAACTATAGATAACTGCTGTTCTTGCTTTTGGTTTGGGCAGCTTCACTTTATTAATGTAGATTTTGTAATGTAGATTCTTGGCTCACAATTTTGTAAATTTGTTAATGTAAAAGCTTTTGAATGATTTGTTGTACTTTTTGATTAGTTGTTCATTTCCTATATTAATAGTGTTTTCAACAATTCCCATACAGAGACTAAAATCAATATTGAATTGCCTCTACCCACAGTTAATGTCTGTAAGGCTCCAACCTGGATTAATTTATTTGTCTGTACCATAGACCTTTGGTGGTGTTTAAAAACACAACAGCCGAACTCGCATATAGTATGTGCTGTTAACTATTGCTTACTTCAGACGCAGTAAAAGCTTATGGCTATTCGGTGCCTCCAAGGCCACATTTAAGAAAATATTCACGTCATGTATTTTGTAATGAAGGTCCATGTCGCCCGCTGCAACGGTGTGTTTCACTGATGTTTTTAATCATTTTTGAACAGCAATGGTGGTCTATGGCAAAGATGAATAAGCTAATCCAAGTTTTAGACTGACAGGCATTAACAGTAAGTAGAGGCAAATCATTGTTGGTTTTAGTCTCTGTATAGAGATAGTTGAAAATACTATTAATGTAGAAAATGACTGGCCTTTTTTAAAGTGTGGGTTTTCATAAATGGGACACAAAGATGAGAAACCTGACATCTCGACAGACATCATACTGCTATGTTAGCCTTAAACTGTGGCCATTGTGGAACCTTATATGAAATTACATGCATAAGTGAATTTGGAATATGTTGTGGCACTGAACAGAAGCTTGCTGCTGTTCCCCAGGAGACAAAGCATTCCTGACTGGATTTCTCTGTTCCCACACTGTGTATTTCTTGTCTACATACCAGGGATCTTTAGAATTCCACTAATCACACCGTTAGCCAAATTATTAATGCAAGAAAATTGACCTTTTTTTACCTGGACATTGTTTAACTCACTTGCACCTTTTCCATCCCTGTTGCTCTGCTAGATGTGGGGGCACAGTAGGAGCCATCTTCACTTGTCCACTGGAAGTAGTGAAGACCCGTCTGCAGTCATCCTCCATCACCCTCTATGTGTCTGAGGTTCAGCTCAGTACTGTTAACGGGGTCAGTGTGGCCCGCATGTCACCGCCAGGTCCTCTGCACTGTCTCAAGTGGGTACTCGGCAACAATACAGTCGCATACAACTTCAGTATGTGTTTTGTATATACAGTCATAGCCAAAAATATTGGCACCCCTGCATTTCTGTCAGATAATGCACTACTTCTCCCAAAGAATTGCTGCTGTCACAAATTCTTTGGTATTCTCATGTTTATTTCTTTTGTTTGCATTGTAACAACACAAAAACCAGGGGAAAAAACCAACTCTGATATATTCTACACAGAACTCTAAAAATATACCTGACAGGATTATTGACACCCTCAACTTAATATTTAGCAGCACACTCTTTGGACAAAATAACTGAGCAGTCTTTGGGATTTAGACCTGGACTCATTGCCTACCACTTCTGACCTCTCCAACGCATTGTCTAAAACCATTTCTAGTGCTTTTTGAAGTCTGCTTTGGGTCATTGTCCTGCTGTAAGACCCATGACCTGTGACAGAGACCCAATGTTCTGACACTAGACCCTATATTGTGCCCCAGACCAAAAAGCTCTATTTTAGTCTCATCTGTCCACAGGAGATTCTGCCAGAAGGACTGTGGCTTCTTCAGGTAAGTTTTAGCAAACTCCAATCTGGCTTTTTTATGTTTCTGTGTCAGCAGTGGGGTCCCCCTGGGCCTCCTATCAGATCATCCTTTGTCATTCAGATGATGACGGATAGTGCGAGCTGACACTGTTGCACCCTGTGCCTGCAGGTCAGCTTGAATTTGTTTGGAAGCTGATCGAGGTTCTTTATCCACTGTTTAAACAATCCTTCGTGGCATTCTGTCATGTCTAATACTCTTTCATCCACGTCCAGGGAGATTAGCTACAGCGCCATGGGCTGTAAACTTCTTGACAGTGTTGCACACAGTGGACACAGGAACAGCCAGATCTCTGGAGATGGACTTGTAGCCTTGAGAGTGTCCATGCTTTTCCACTACTGTGGTTCTCAAATCCTCAGGCAATTTTTTGCTCTTCTTTCTTTTCTTCATGCTCAGCGTGGTCCACACGACACAAAGGTTGAGTCAACTTTTCTAATTTCTATATTGTCAGCACTTGTTGATTGCTACAGGTGAGTTTCTTAGAAATTAAAGGAGCATCACATACATGATGTACAACCGTTTCTGATGATTTTGAAAAGGTCTCAATAATTTTGTCCCATCCATTTTTGGAGTTCCGTGTGAAATTTGGCTTCTCCTTTTTTTTTGCTTTTTCTGTTGTTCCAATGCAAACAAAAGATATAAACATGAGAATACCAAAGAATTTGTGATTGTAACAATTTTCTGGGAGAAGTGGTGTGTTATCCCTCAGAAATGCAGGGGTAGCAATATTTTTGGCCTTGACTTTATCATAGATAGAGCATAGACCTTTGTAAACATTGCTAGCTTGTGGTCATTATTTGCGCATTAACCAAAATGAGTGGAGCTGTTCATGTACTGTATGTAGCTTTGGCTGCAGGGTTATGGTTCCTTCCTCAGCAGGCAACATATTATTGCTTTTGTTGTTTGGTCTGGCTGATGTCACCCTACAGACTAAACACTAGCATGGAGCTATGTTGAAACTATGGAAGTACTGTATTTTTAAGGACATCTTTCCTGCGACTAATCGCAAGATGTTGACATTTTGCAGGCAGTGTTGGACAGAGTGTGGTCAGTGTGGCGTGGAAATGTGAAAGCGTTCATTCTCCCAGGCCCTGCATTTGCAACCATCTAAACCACATGTGGAGCAACAATATTTAGACATGACGTATACAGTAGCTAAGACAACCAGTGCACATCTGCCTTCTGTGATCAGCTCATGAGTAACAGTAAATGAGCAAATGTATTTGCTCTGTGTTGCACTGTTCTGGTCACAGGTTAAGTTTTACTCCTTAAGATAAAATTGTACAGCTCGACATACTATGGACCTGCCGAACTGGACAGATGTTCCCAGTTTCTTGGAGACTGGCTTATATATCATTGTGTGTGTTGTTATGTGTCCTCTAGACCATGTACTGGTCATTATACCCAGCAATCCAAAGGTGCTGGACCAAACAAACAACTGACTACTGACAGTTCTATTCTTAGATCTCTGATTGGGCTTGGGATGTAGGCTAATGCTCCTGCTGAGGGTGGAAGCAGGGGAAAGGTCATGTGGATTTTAGATTTCATTGCAACCCACATACTGAATATTAATATTACTTGCATGGAAATATTCATACCAAACATCAGAACAATCAGGCTACTTCTTTTCAAAGTATCTTGCTCCAGAACTAATTGTTGAAAGTACTGCCTCGATGGCATCACTGTCTTTGTGGGCCAAAGAAAAACACTTGGGGGGGAAAGTAACTTGAATTGTTACCAGATACGCTTGGAACTTTGATATAAAGTTGAAACTGAAAATATACAGTGGTAGATTGGACTACACTGGTAGAAAACTGGTTATCACCCAGTAATAAGTAACCCATTCTTTTTTTTATAAAAGGGATAGGACAAATTCTCAGAATTGGAAAGTAACTAAGTACATTCACTCAAGTACTGTACTTAAGTAGAGTTTTGAGGTATCTGTACTTGAGTATTTTTTTTTTCTGCTACTTCATACTTTGAATACATTTCCGAGAAAAATATTGTACTTTGTACTCACTACATTTATTTGATAACTTTAGTTACTAGTTACTTTTCGGAACAGGAAGAACTGCTAACCCTGTGATCAGGGGTCGGCCTGCTCTACCCCTGAGCCACAGCTGCCCCAATATAAACTAGTTAAAGTTAGCTCTACCTTTACCAGCTGCAGTATTAAATGTGATGTATACAATAATACATCACTAAATATAATTGAATAATATGATGTACATCAATGTAAACTGTGCCATTTTGCATAATGGGTACTTTTACTTTTGGTACTTAAAGTATATTTTATGCTAATACTTTTGTACTTTAGTTCTTTTACTTGAGTAACAATTTGAATGCAGGAGTTTTACTAGTAACTTTATTTTTACACTGTGGTATTTCTACCTTTACTTAAGTAAACAGTTTGACTACTTCTTACACAACAGTAAAATTCCATACTTATTTGATTCACTTAGTCAAAGTCAGTTTTGCACTTTTGTATACGTTTAGCATTAACTAGAAAAACAGAATGCTCATCTTCTATTTTAATTAGGAAAATAAATTCACATATTATGGCATTGTTGTGCATTTTACTCTACCAATTGGTGACTGTAATAAAGACGCAACCCATTTTGGGTCACAACCATAGGTTTGGGAGTGGCAGACCTAAAGCATGCATGTAGTCTTAGTGGTTGTCTCCTAGTGTATATTTTTCTGTGTTTGTGTTTTGTATTCAGATTGATATTGGAGAAGGAAGGACCTCGTTCTCTCTTCAGGGGCTTGGGGCCAACCTTGGTGGGTGTGGCACCTTCCAGGTAAGCCGACTCTTGTCAACTATCACCTACATCGTATTCATATACTTCAGTGTGTACCTTCTTTGAGTACGACTTGAAAGACTATGACACTATTAGTGCCGTCCTCAAGTGAAGGCATCCTCGGTTAAATCATAGTGATTGGATTTCTTTGATGTGACCTTTAACAGGGAACTAGAGGCCTAGGGTATTCATTGACAGTAGTTTTTCATGGGATACCTGTGCCCATTGCTTCCACTTAGTAGCCTAACAAACCAATTGGCTTTTTCCCAGCGGACATTTTAACATCATAGCAGAAACAAAACTGACTGCAGTTAGGTATAAACATATTACAGTCATGACCGTTAGTTACCCTCAGTAATAATCACAGGAGCAGAGTGGTGGTTAATTGTGGTGGGCAGCGGCTAATGTTGCAGCAAGCAGGTGCCAGTGCTAAGCATGTGTGGAGTGTATTGTTACCGTCTTACATGAATAAATAATGATGCAGTGGAAGTCAAGGCAACACGGCCTCCTGAGCTGTGACGCAGATTTAAAGCTGAATGCACAGGCAAACAGCTCTGTAATGTGACTAATGTGCTTTAACTTCGTTAACAGTCTAAGTACATTTGACAAATGATTGTACAAGTGGAACAGACTGCACATTATACAGTGCTGTTGCTGCTAGAAAGGAAAAACAACACATGTATTTAGTCATGAGTATGAGCATGATCATTATGACCTTTTTAATTAGCGAAATGAGTAAAGATAATTAGGGAAAACAAGTAAAGACGTGCTTTTTATACTGAATAGACTTTGTTTGACCACGCTCATTTGTTGAGTCTGGATCTGCTCTCAGCTTTGCACCTAATGAATTTTTGAAGCTCATTAAGCTGAACTTGACTTGGGGACAGTGTTACTTGTTAATGTAGGGTAATTAATTAGCTGTATTGCTGCTCAATGCCCATTGTTGACTCAGACTCATTAGGTTTACACTACATCACAAAAACATGGCATATATTTTATGTTTTGCCTTGTACTGGTGTGACACATGCAGACCTTTTTGTCGTCTTCTTTCAATAGAGCAATCTACTTTGCTGCTTACTCCACTGCCAAAGAGAAACTGAACGGTGTGTTGGAACCCGACTCCACACAGGTACACATGGTGTCAGCCGGAATGGCAGGTAACTACATATCTGACATCAGAAGTTGGCATTCACTACCATTTAATGCTTTTTAACATACTGTAGTCTAACTATAATGTTTCAGGCACACTTGTCAGAAACTCTTTGACCTGCTTTTGGTTCAGTGCTGCTAAGCTTAAACAAATAGTTGTTACATGCAGGACCAGGCATGTTGAATTACTGCTCAGGTCTTTACAATTACATTAAATGCCTCTGTATGGAACAAGCAGCAGTAGAACAAGTTTGTCTTGTATTTGATTCAAAGAACTTGTCTTTTAAAATACTGCAAAGTTGGATAACCAAGGTACCCCACCCCCACATACTCTCGATGATCCTGTGTAATCAAAAATACCTTCACCTTTTCCCCAGACTGCTAACTTAGCAGTCTTACACCAGCTTAAATGAAAGTGTAACATGTTAAAAGGCCATGCTTAAATGACTCCGTTGTTATCATTATTATTATTTATCTAAGGCTTTATCTGTCAAGGATAGGTTTTATCCGCTCATGTTACTGATCCATATGAGCCAGTGTGGCTCAGTCAGGCAGCTACAGTGACAGTGTGTTTTGTGTGTATATAGGTGAATCTCATGGGTTCACAGTGGGGCAACTTTGAGCACACTGACTCAGACCTTTCAACAACTCAGGGTCATTATTTGTCAGCATATCTCTATCCAGTGGCAGTCCACATTTTCTGCAATGCGATATCTGACTGAGCCGATCTGACAGGCAATTGGTTGTCGACAGTCAGGAATCTTGTGTGTTTAGTGATACATGACATTTAGGGTGAGATTCTGCCTTGGCTAACAATGGACAAACAGTCAGTAGAGAGATGATCCCAAGCTAAGACAGGGTGTCAATATCAGTTATATACGTATGTTGGCAGGCCAATTTTATTCTCTTGCAAAATATTGTTTCCCCTATATACAGCAATACACTGCTGCTGCCTAGTTATGACCACTACTGCTGAAATACCACATACTAAATGTAATCACCGCAACTTAGGCTTTCTACACCCACAAACAAATACATGCAGTGAGGTCGTCATTGAGTAGACCATCGCAGGTTGTTAGTGAGTGCATGTGCAGCAGATGGCCAATTCACAGGTGACTTCTTTGGCAGAGGCAGTAGAAACATAGCTTAAGCACCAGAATTGAATTAAGCAGAGAGAATGTTTCCAAGTGTCCATGTTGAAGTGATCGTTACACGCTAAGGTAAAAGCTTATTAGTTAATACTTTTAGGCTACACATTAAACCTTTGCACAGCCTAGTCCCTACACTGCCGTTAATACCTGGACATTTTGCATTAATTGCTCAGGTTGAGCGGACACTCATTACAGGGTGGAGCCTGTTTTTTTTTTTTAAACTGCTTTATATACAATTCCAAACAAGGGTTGGGCCTCTCCAGTCACACATATTCACTGCGGGCTGTGCAGGGATCACGTTATTACAAGAAAATATAATCTGTTGTTATAATGACAAAATAGCCTACAGTATGTTGCTAAAACGAGAAGATACAGTATGTCGTAATAATGTGAAAAATGTTTTAACGTGAAATTATCTGGTAAAAACGAGTAAAGTGTCTTGTTATAATGAGAAAAGTCTCTCGTTAAAACTATTTACACTACCATAGGCAGTTCTTGTGCGTACTATGAAATATAATCTTGCAGATGCCCCTGATATTCACTATAGACAGCTCCTGCATCACTTTGCAGACTTGGATATTGTAAAACGGTTGAGCTGTTGCATGCTGATTCACACTTTACACAGTGAAACCAATAGGAACAAAATGGTTGTGGTCAAGATGGGTACAGCACCTCTACTAGGAAGACAGTGCAGTGATACCCCGCTATTAAACCGCCCATTCTGCTCCTTCTCTTTTAATGAAGCTGTATTGACAGTATTGTTTTACAAAGTCCACATAACTGTGGGGTTATGACAGCAGTTGTGCGACATATCAGATTTGAAATGAATATTCAAAAGAAGTTATCTTCTTAGTTCTACAACACTTTACTATATATTATTTCTTAAAGGAACTTGAGCAAGTTAACTGTGATCTTTGACTAGATATGTGAAACCCAGTGTAACAGATAATTATTTATCTACCTGCATGATAAGGATTATGGTCAGAATTTTATTGTACAAACTGTGGCCTAAACAAAAACACAACTGCAGTGTGAAAACTATACTTCAGGCAGTCACACTCTGGTTTGTGTATTCTTTAAGAACAAACGCCATCTAATGGTGACCCAGTGCAAGTCAAGGAATCGCTCTTTAATAGGCATGTTTACTGTGGAATCTAGAGGCCTTATCAAGCAACAGAAGAAGTGGGGCTCCTGGAAGGCTGGTGGGAACTGCACACCAGCTGAAAGCAATTCAGCTGGGATGTGCAATTCTGAGTGGCTGCCTCTGTACCTTAGAAATATAGTTGAGTAATGTACTTAGTTAATTTCCATCACTGTATATATCTACCCAGTACTGGTTAGGCTGTAATTTGCAAATGTATCTACATCAAGCCTCAAATCTTGTTGTCATTTGTGTTTTTAATGATCACTTTTTACAGGCTGTATAAGTTCATTCTTTTTTATATCAAGAGATTTTTGCAACAAGAACTCGGATGTATTCTTCAAACATGTCCCTTCTGCTGTCCTGATGGGGGAATGATCACACTTGATTTCGCAGTAATATGGTGGGTTAAATCCTCTGGGACAGTGGGAGAAATGGGGAAGTTAAATGGTTTCATGCCATCATTTTGCTACACACAAGCCTGTGTTTGTTTTAGGCTTTTATTCTACCATAGCTCTCCTCTCGCAAGGGCATGAGACCCCCGCACCACCAGGGGTCTCTAGCTGCATCTGTGAGGAGTTACTTGGGTCTGCGTGAGTACTCACCACAGAGCTGTGTTTCCATTGATATATCTGGCTCTTCTCTTTCTCTCTCTGCATTGTTGTCCTCTAATCCCTTATCTAGGTAACTGGATAACAATTTTTTACAGCTGTTTGTATGAGACATACCATTTCTTATGACATTCATTTGCTCCCCTACTACAGTAGCACACATAGGATAGTCTATAGAGGTGCTAGATTTCTCTCTCTCTAAGCTGCTTTTGTGAGTCTGCATTTCATTAAAAGAACATGATTACATTCTTTTTAACTTGAATCATAAACACAGCTTAAAGACCATTTATGTGTTAGCATGAGTGTTAGTTTAAAGGCCATTTTTTGTGCCACAGACAGTTTGACATTTTCATATTTCTAGATTTTAAACAAAATATAACCCAGTTTTTTTTAAACCTCCACAGGTTTTACAGCTATCACAGCAACCAACCCAATATGGCTCATAAAGACCCGTCTACAACTGGATGCTAGGTAAATACGACACTAGGGTGGGAACTTTTACAGTAGACAGTTAAGTTGCCTGCACGTATTTTCCTTTAAAGCAAATAGTTACGACCACATGGGCATTTCCATTTTTACCAGCTATGAAGGAACACTTCTTAATTTTATTTCAGAATTCCCCTTTATATTTAAAACCAACTTCCAAAAAACAGTTCTTCTTTGGTGGGAATTTCTCCAAGGCACTTTCACATCTGTATTCCAGTCATGGGCCACATTGCATTCCATCATATGCAACAATAAAGTACAGCTTTATAAATTCTTTGTTTGCAGGATATGAAATGTTATGGCTGTACAGACTTTAAGCAGTAGTTTATTTTCTTTGTGTGACAACACATTTTGCTGTGTGCAATATGCAGTCCATGTATAAATGTAGAAAGGGCAAAATTATTATTATTATTTTTTTTTTTATGTGTGTATTTGTATTCTCCGGCCTTTCCTCAGGAATCGTGGTGAGCACAGAATGAGTGCGTTTGAGTGTGTGCGGCGTGTGTATCGGACAGACGGCCTGCGAGGCTTCTACAGGGGAATGACAGCATCCTATGCTGGCATCTCAGAGACTGTGATCCACTTTGTTATTTATGAAAACATCAAACGGCGCCTGTTGGAGGCCAAGGCACCACAGAACATGGACGAGGAGGAGGAGGAGGAGGAGTCATCCAAAGATGCTTCAGACTTTGCGGGGATGATGCTTGCTGCTGCCACCTCTAAGACCTGTGCCGCAAGTATTGCTTATCCTCATGGTGAGCGGTTGTGATTAGCAGTAAAATAATTTCAGGCTGTCTAATTTATGCTTTTTCATAACCTTTCCCTTTCTTCTTTCTTTTGCAGAAGTGATCCGCACCAGGCTACGAGAGGAAGGCACCAAGTATCGCTCCTTCTTCCAGACTCTAACAACCATACCCAAAGAGGAGGGCTACCGCGCCCTGTATCGCGGCCTCACCACCCACCTAGTACGACAGATCCCCAACACCGCCATCATGATGTGCACCTATGAGCTGGTAGTCTACTTCCTGAATGATTAAAGTCATCCCCCCCCATTTAGACACTCTATGTAACCCTGACCCTGTTCGGAGACTGAGGGAAGAGAATGCAAATGATTGCACACCTGCTTGCCAGAAGAGGATAGAGAAGGCACAATGTGCGTTGACTCAGTGACACAAGCGGTTGTTAAAAACAAGCTGGGAGTTTTTGTATAATAACCAAGGAGGAGCTTTGAAAAAAATCCTCATATTGGTTTGGTTATCTGGGTTTGACAGAGGCAAAGAAACAGTTGCAGTGTTTTTATTTTTATTCCAACCTTTTCACCTTTTGGTTATATATATTTTGCTTTTGTTGAAGAAAGAACCTGAGCTACAGGATAGTCTGCCTCTTATCAATACTAACAATGATAGAGAAGAACAGTAATTCCCATCTACTGTATATTAATTTGTGGATATAAGATCCTTTCCAGCTGTGATGGCTTTGTTGTCATGCTGATGGTCAGATGTGAAATATTTCATTAGTGTCAGGCAATATTTTCTGTTTCGCTGAAGTAACTGTCAAGGGTTCTGATGTTGGCCAGAACAATAAGAAATCTTACTGAGGTAGGACAACAGATGAAAAAGGGTGGAAGAAAAAAGTAGAGTGTGGATACCAGATGGGACCCATCGGTACCCGAGGATGTGGGCCAGGTTCAGACAGAAATATAGAAAATTATGTTTGGGTCCAGGTCGGGTTCAGACATGTAGGTCAGACTTTTGGCTAGACAGCTGGAGCACTCAAATGTCTGCTTCATTTAACGATAATGAGAAAACACTGGACAGACTTTGTCTGGCTCGGGCCCAGGTTTGGACATTATATATTATAAACGCCACACTCACGGGCATGGGCCGGGTTCAGACAGAAATCTGTGGCCCGATCCATGCTCTAGAGAAGAGGGATAGGTGCCTTGTGTGAACATGTGATGTAGACTAATATGCACAGTAGTTGTAGGAGGAGGTGGAGCTCTGGTTGACCTCGCACAACAAGGGGTGTAGAGATGTATTTGTACACTGTGATTTCAGGTGCCCTTAGTGACCCTTTTCCATTGGTGAACATAGATACACTCAGGTCTTCAGTACCTTAATACTGGTCATGATATCCTCATAAGGCAGGAATTTACACCCATTTACTGGTGTTTATGCTAAATACCAACATAGATGATAATCTGCTTGCCTGTTGCAAGGGAAGTCTGCATAATGACATCGACCTACAAACCTGTATGTGTTTGTGCTAACCATGTCCTGAAGAGTAATCACTAAGGTTAGACAGGATGAAAAGTAACCAAATGAAACCAGAGTGTGATCCACTGTATTAACTACTGGAATGTAAATGAACAGAAGGAATTACTTTACTATATTATTACAATATTCCTCACCTTTACTAAAGGTGAGGAATATTGTGAGTTAAAATAATGAAATTAACACGTTTAAAAAAAAAAGTAAAATTGATAGATATTTTAAATGCATTAAATAACTGCATTGCAGCTGTTTCCCCAGTTATGGCAAAGTGCAAAATGTTTATGCAGTTTCTTTAGATGAGCGCACTTTTCAGTTTTCTCTACTTTCCTGTTCATTTTGTTTTTATGGAGAATCCAGCCTTGTTTTACAGGCGAGGACAATCCTCTTAAGCGTACTCTGGAAAAACTGTACAGTTTGGCCAGTGTGTGGAGGAAGTGGCCAGCAATATGCTGATCATAAGCGCACATTAATTAAATGCAGACCAGTATAAAAAAATTTAAAAAAACAGTAAGTGTTTTGTTGTTTCCTTCCCATTGTTCAGGCGTCGTCTAAAAATGTTTTCTTTCTAAATGCTCTGCGTGTGATCAGGTTGGAAAAATGTGAGTGTTTCTGTCTTTTATGTTCTCTTGGTTCTTCTTGTCATGGAATGGAAAGTTGGAAGTAACTTTCCTTCTGTGATCACATGACACAAGAACCCAGCCTGTCGAATACTTTGTACAGTTTTCACTACAAAATGCAAACTTAAAAAGTGCATTGCTTAGCCCACAACTCTAACACAGATTACCTTCTGACTTTAACAGCTGGAGCTGATAAGCATTTTTTAATCTATGTTGATAAATTATCCAAGCGCTTCACTGTTTAATATTTCAAAGTGCTGATGTGTAGCAGTAAGTATAAGGACGTTTTGATATAATGCAGCTCAACAACAACTCACTTTCTCGGTGCTGTTGTATCTGAAATTGCAGAAGTAGCTTCAGTGTGCGCCCCCCCCCAACCCTTGGCAGATGCTTTTTCTCCACTGAAATGTTTGAACTAATCCTTAATAGGGACACTGATTAGTTTTACAGCACACATGAAGGATGCATTAGATTAGCCTCATTAATGAGAACTTATTAGAAATGTGCAGTATTAATAGTTACAGGCGGTGCCATCAACGCACACGCACACACACACACGATGCAGTGAGTCATGAGTCCATGGGTGACTCCTGTTGCTGTTAGATGTAATTGGATGCATTACGTCAATGGGTACACTCCCATGTGTTTTAAAACAGGATGGAAAGTGTGAGTTGACTGTACTTAACCTGACTTGAGGGTCAGTTCGCCCAAACACTATTTTCTCTTTTAGTTGTATTGACATTGAGCCACTCAGTTTTGTTTTTATTTGTCAAGGTTATGCGTTATCTGCGTGTTGCCTCAGTGCAAAGTGAACAGTATTTTGTTTGTGGTGCATACACAGTTGAGCTCATTTCTGTGAGCACCATAAACAAAATTCCAACAAATTTTTTTTTTGTACTTTGGTTTGGGGTGACCTGACAAACTGTACATTTCTATGTATCTCTTTCGTTTGTATCAGTGGCTGTTCTTTGTCAGGTGATGCATTCTTCCCAGTATCCCATGGTTATTCTTGTTCACCAGTACATTTGCATTGTGTGCCAGTGAGTGTGGGTGTGTGTATGTGTTTGCCAGTCTGTCATTCAGTCTTGTGTGTAATAGGGTTGCAACGGTATGAGATTTTCACTGTATGATAACCATCTCAGATAATATCACGTTGTTACGTTATACAGGATTACAAAGCTACTATTACATCACATACAATGACCCTCGGAAGATTGAAAACAAAAAGGTCCTTTTCTTTTTATTATTGTAAGTGACTGTGACAGTTGATTGAGCTGGAAAGCAGAGCTAGATTGACCCTAAACAATACACAGAATTATAAACAGGATTTTAAAAAAAGTAACGTGTTGCATAACTAAAGCATGTTAGTTTGTGTTAGCACCAGTAGTAGAGGATATATTCATATCCTTTACTTAAATAACACTATCACATGTTAACAGTAGCTTACTCTGTAACAAGTAAAAGTCCTGCATTAATAATGTTAAGTAAACGTAAGTATCACAAAAATGCACATAAATGATTAAAAGTAGAAGTAGAAATATAGTATACTATAGCCCAAATACTATACTGCTACACTACTATAGAGTACATCATTACATTATTAACCTGTCACTCGTACAATTGATGTAAAAGCTGGATTTGACTGTTGTAGTTCGTTGAGGTGCAATTATTGATTGTTTCATTAGGAATTAAACATCTGATTATTTTCACCATTGATCGATTGACTGGTCTCTTAAACCTCTGATAATAGTGAGAAATGTCATCACAGTCCTCTAAACGCTGATCAAAATAGTAGATAATTTATTGTCGGTGCTTAACAGCCAGACTGTGACTGCCTTCACACACACACACACACACACACACTCACACACACACTCAGTCACTTAATGTGAACCAGGAAAGTGTGTTTGTGGGGTCAGGTTCAGATCAATGCAAGTCCTTTTCATAAGTCAGAGATTACCAAATGAACAAACAAAGTGGAAAATTATTTCGATAGTGCATTTTATGACCTACGTTTATTGTTTGGGATTAAAGTTACAAATGGGACACACACTTTGATCTGCATGGAGGGATGGCGTCCTTGAAGATGTTTGTTTCTAGGATATCCAAAGTAGGTTTAGGCTTATCCTACGCTTCTGATTTAAAAAAAATTTTCTCTTGGATACCGGTAATAAGGAATTGTGCATGGTATAATAATTGTCAATTTTCATACTATGGTATACTGTGAAACTGGAATACCGCTGCAACCCTAGTGTGTAAGAAACCATAGGACCATAGAACTATGTATGCACTTAGAAGTATAGCTGCAAACAGTGTCATTTCCTTTTCCTGATGCCCTTTTGTTGTCATTTTTTTTCCGCACATTGTCACTGATGAGCTGACTGTGAGTGTAGCTCGGTCTATGCATTCTGTCATACCTGTTTTTGTAAAACAAAAAGTAAATAAAAATGCAAGTACATTCCAAGTGTCTGCAAATCTTTACTAGGTGCCTGATATATATACTCTCTCAGTTGCTTTACTACCTACCACCCTCTGACTCTGATACCAAAAGTGCTGCCTATGTGAGTGTGTGTGGTTGTTTGATTACATGTCAGCCCTGTGATGGACTGGTGACCTGTCCAGGGTGAACCCCGCCACTCGCCCAATGTCAGCTGGGGATTGGCTTCAGCCTACTATTCAGGAATAAACTGTGCAGATAATGGGTGGGTGGATGCTGTGCAGACTGCATAGACCGATGTGATTGCACTGTGAAGTTAACCCTTGCACCAAGTGTATTTTCAGTCACCAGGTGGTAGTGTTGACCTGCTAAGCTCCCGTCTGGCTTTTTCCGGCACACCATCAGTTTAATAGAACAGATACTGAAAAATGACAAACTTCCTCAATCTAAAACATGGGGGGTGGGGGTGCCACCCCCCACCCCCACCACCACCAAATGTTTACTTGTATTCTGCACCTCAGACAATTGAGGCAGCCAGCCTGAAGGCCATACTAGCTAACATAGAATAAACGGTTTGAAAACAACAAATGACAAAGAAAATGTCAAGTGAATGATGATATAGCTTCAGTGGAAAACCCACTTCCTCAGTCACAGCTCATTTCCTGGTATAAACAACAGCATCACATTATTACATTAGCTTAGCCTGAGTCAGACACCACGTGTATTTATTTTGCGTCAGACTGAACGGGAGGAATGTGTTCCAACAACATACCCTGCAGCGCCAGTGCTCTCGGAGTAATATAAACTGCCTCGGGGTGTTGGCTGCACCTCAGTTGTAAACTGAGCATTGGGGACGCATGGTGAAATTACTGCAAAACACCTGATGGAGGGAGCCGACTGGCAACTTGTTTACCTGTGAACTGAAATGGAAGGTAAACGAGAGCAGAAAGAAAAGGCAGCAAATATTGTTTTCCATTTCCTTGGTCTCTCACAGGCTTTGGACTCTGTGTAGTGGTGTTTTCTGTAATCTGTCTTAATCCTAAAAAGGGGAATCTAGACAATCTGTATTTGTCTTGTGTCCTTTTTTCAGTCTTTTCATATACATTATGCTTTCCATCTTCTCGCTTTACCTCTCTTCTGGAGCGCATTGCTTTGGCACATACTTTCCAATTTCCACTTTCATGTCTCTTCCTTCAAGGGCAACTCCAGTGATTTTTTTTAAGCCCAGAGACAGATTAAAAATGTATAATAATAATAATAATACTTTAAAAAGAATTGTCCAAATCAAAGCAACAGAGACTGAAATATGATGACTTTTAGGGTCAAGCGCCAAAAACACTGGATCCTGCTTCCCATAATGCATTAGAACCTCCCTGCCTAGTACTGTAAATCCCCATGTCTTTTAAAATTCACATCTAAGTTCATAGGGCTTTTTGTTTTGAAATTATAGTCTCAATCCAAATTTGGGGTGCACTGATGATGTATTTTCCTAAACTTTAAGTCAGTGAAATGCAAAATAAACATTTTAATTAGCTACAGCTCTGCAATAGTCCTCTGGTTTCTACAGGCTCAGTGCAGCTCTTTGTGACAGTAAAATGGATTTTCAAGTATAAAAGCAGTGGCGTGCTCCTTTAAGCCCAGTTCAGTATTAACACCATTGCCTTTATGTAGAATTAGAAAATAGTTCTTTGTCCTTATGTATCACTTATCCCAATAATACTTCTACAAATGTAACCACAAACCTAAACAAAGAACCCACTGACAGTTCAATTTTCTGCATGAAATCTCTGTCCTTCCACAACCTCGGACACACTGTACTGTGCGCCCACATTTACACTACCTCTTCTTAACCTCAACCAGTAATTGAAGGTTCTCAGTGGTGTCTAGAGACAGTTTCATTCAGGTCATTCACTAGCTGAGCGCATGAACTTCAAACTAAGCCAGAGAAGTGTGTGTGATGCATGTCTGCTGCAGCTGTACCTGAGGGTGAAATACTTAGCATCTTGAATCCATGAACATCCAGACTCAGACAAACAATCCTTGCTCTTCTTGTTTCAGATATCTGCCCACACTGTTGAAGTGGAAAACCACAGCATATGGCTGACACACATACAACATATTGCACACCACATTGTGTGTGTGGATTAAAAAGAAACTGCATTAATTCTTCTTTCCTGGCTCTTGATCTATTTCTTCTCCAAGTACTTCACTTCTTAGTAATGGTTGCTTTCAGTTGTTGGTGATTATTTAGGACTGGAAGCTTAATCCAATCTTGTTTTCTTGTTATTTTCACTGTGATGATCTCTGTGGGGTTCAAAAACAGGACAGCAGGAGACAATAAAGCAATTGTGCAACACATACAGTTTATGCTTGTTTGCTTTCTTGCTGAGTGTTAGATGAGAAGATCAATAGCACCGTCATATCTTTAAGGTAAATATGAAAATTAAGCCAAAAATGGTTAGCTTAAGTTAGTACATAAAAAAACAGCTATGCTGGTTCTCTGAAGGTAACATATTTGCCTACCAGCACCTCTGAAGAAGTCACTGTTCTGGACCAAGAAATAGTTGAACATATAACCACAAGTTGTCGTTTTTATACTTCAGTTTTTGTACATACTAAGCAAGTGAGATATAATGTGTACATTTATAGTGAGCTTTTCTGGTGCTGATCTATAAGCTAAGCTAAGATACTGTAACTGTCTCCCAGCTCTTTAATATGTAGTAATTTAATAGAAATAGTAGACTGTATATACATAAAACATAAACATGAAAAATTGTAATACAGCCTAGTGACTTTGGAAGGAATTTTGAATTCAAATGCATCCAAAAAAACATATGCACACACTTTGACAGTTGTTTGAACCCATCGCCCACTGCAGTCGACTGTGAGAAGCACACTGGCTTGGGTGAATTCAGGGACATCTCTTTGTCTCTCTCTCTCACACACAGATTCCCAAATCACCTACATACCAGAGGCAGAATGAAGGGAAATTCAGCCAAGTTGAGACACACTACTCCCCTTTATTTTCTAACAAGAAGAAATTCTCATGGTGATTTGGTGACATTGTTAGACTGTCAGTGCACCATCCAATTATGACCGATTCCACAACTGGTCCAGGGAGACAGAGAGAGAGAGAGAGAGAGAGAGAGAGAGAGAGAGAGAGAGACCCACAGGAGGAAGATGTGACACGTGAGACAGACAGCCAGGAGAAGGAAAGGAGAAATAGGAGGGGGAAAAGAAGCTAAAGATGCAGATGGTAGTGAGGAATGTGACACAGTAAAATCCAGAGAATGAAAGCGTCTAATGTGAAGTGCCCGTCAGAGGACTTGGAGAGGATTCACTGGGCACTGGTGGCAACCATGGCAGCTTTCTCTGAAGTCAGTGCCGAAAGCCAGGTAGAAGGCCACACACATATACATACTAACTCGCACTCTCACAGCCTTGTTCACAGACAACAAACATGCATAAATCTCATTTTTACAACATAGGAGCTCTGTGTCATGTTTGATTGAAACTGTCTCTGTCTCACCAAGATAAACTTTCTGACCTTATGAGTTACAAACATTTTACTGTCTGTGATGACAGCTAGTAGGACCACTAATTGGACTGCACTTATGTAGTGCTTTTCTACCATACCTGGACAAAGCGCTTTACAGATTCAACCATTCATACAGGCTACCAGTAGTTTTAATCATACATTGTAAGAATGACGAGTTGATGTTATACTGAGGATTATGTGCTGTACTATCTTTTTAGTGGCGACTTCCTATGTAATCTGCCATTATAGGTGCTGATAAGCAGATATTTGTTTTCCTTTAGACAGAGCCAGGATAGCTCCTTCCTCTGGTTTCCAGCCATTATTGCTAAGCTATATTAACTGTCTTCTGGCTGCTGTTTCAGGATTATTACATTAAATGACTGCAGTTCCAGGACATGCAGCTTAGGTTGATTGGTGAGTCTACATTGCCTGTAGGAGTGATTGTGAGTGTGTGTGGTTGTTTGTCTATCTCACCCCGGTACAGACTGGCGACCTGTCCAGGGTGGACCCCGCCTTTCGCCCAGTGTCAGCTGGGATTGGCTCCAGCCCCCCCCCCGTGACCCCACTCAGGACTAAGCGGTATAGATAATGGATGGATGGATAACCCCCAAAGCAGCAGACAGAAGGCATGAAGTGGCCCCCACCCTGCGTCAAGTGTCTTAATAGCGGAATTTTTTACAGGAAGTTTAACATTGTTGCATACAAAATAAAAGCATGGAGTTTGCCATGTTTAGGAACTTTCAACAACATAAAACACACAAAAACAATCTACGACATCGCTTAATAAACTTTATTGACTAGCTTTATACCTGCATGTTAGACATATAAACACTAAATGAAATATTTTTAGAAAAGTGCTTCTTTGTTGATGTCATGATCGGAAACAGTGTTGTTATTCTAGCTATCTTAACGGGAGTCACCTTTTCTTGATCCCGAGCTTCCAGCCAATCAGCGGCTGTCAGGGATACATGAACGGTGATAATATCCACGGAACAGACTGTAAGCAGGAGGAACAAAGAGCGTTAGTTGGTGCTTGTACAACGTCCTTTCACTTCACCAAGGCTCTCAAATGTCGACTTTGTGGAAGTGTCTTGTGCTTTTGTTTTAACACGAGTCCCAAATTATTAGGTGTCACTGTTCGTCTTAAGTTCGGCTGGTTGGTTTTGGTGAGGAAAAAGCGAACTTGGCGTCGTGTGAGGTTTCTCGGGTCGCCTTTCTCGAAACATTCTTGCTTTGGGTTCGCTGACTGAAAGGTAACGTGGGAAGGTAAGTCTGAGTTTTCTCGTACATAAAGCTGTAACGTTAATATATGATCAGAAATGAACTGACAAACATCGTTATTGTGTTATAGTGTCGCTTTGTTTTGTGAGAACATGGCAACTCCCGAAACTTTCCTCTTGTGTTATCTGAGGTAAAGATAACGCGGATATGCTCCAGTCTCACACGGGATCGGAGCTTTTCTAAAACTGTTAACGTATTGTGTCATTTTAGTCCGTGCTTGTCCCTGGTCAAACAAACCCGCCTAGAGGAACTAAGCAAAGTTATATTCTGACTCTGGAATCTACACAAACTTTCGGCATGAAGGTTTAAAAAAAAAAAAAAAAAAAAAAAAAACAATTTAAATTAAAAA